TTTTTGTTTTAGTTATTTGACCTGAAAGCGCTTTACAAATAAATGTATTATTATTATTATTATTATTAAGTGGGGCCAAATAAGTGGAGGAAATAGGACGGACATCTTCCTACCTCTGTGAGCCTGTATGCGAAATACAACTAGAGGGCACTAGAGTATCATAAAGTATAAGGTACTGTGTTGGGGCCACATCGGCAATGACTTTGTATTTTGCATTATTTTTTCATCTTCTCAACTATGATGTTGTGTTTATGTTGTGTTTTCTCAGTACTTCAGTGTTTTAAAAACCTCAGCAGTAATTCACCATACATGTAAGTACAATGTATACTGTGCACTGTATTATACAGTAGGCCTATACACTGACTGTACACAGGTGCATTCATTTTGTAATCAGAACAGTATCGCACTGATGATGCAAATGTGCAAGAGTGTGCTTTGATCAAAGACCTTTAGCTTTTACATCAGTTTTTGCTTTGTGTCTCCATTTCTTTCCATATATGACCTCTACAGTAAGTTTAAACATTATTAAATCAATCTTTACTGCAGTGGCCCGGTTTCAATTTGCAGCCCTTTGCTGCTTGTCATCCCCAGTTTCCTGTCTCTGTACAGCTGGCCCTATTAAATACAGGTAATAAAAGCCTAAATAACCTTTAAAAACAGTAAGTTACATTAATACCATGCCAAACCTAAAAAAAAACAAAGCAAACTTTAGTTGCCTATTTCATAATCTAGACCTTTAACCAAATCATACAACCTGTTGCATTAATGGCTTGTAGGCCTACAGCAGCAGGGTTTACCTGGCTGGAATGAAATCTCTGGGTCTGTCTAAACAGTGTGCTCAGTCTATTTTGTAAATGCAAGAGCACCCTCTATTGGCTGCAGATAATGCCTACATCTACCTGTACTTCACCTGTGCAGGTCAGAATGACTGTTTCCATATGAAGAAAGAAACCACCACAAGTGTGTAAAAACAGTACTATTTATAAGTTCATATAGAATACATTATCGACAGTTTTTAGCACATAATAATTTACATTATTGCAATTGATGCACAGTTACAATAGTCATTAATTTTACCAGGTGACACTTCAAAAATACATATTGCTTGGGATGATTCAGCACAATCAGGTGGGAGGGGATTTCTAAAGTGAAATAACTTTTTTTTTTTTAATACCACTCTATAAAAAAATAACATGTTTGATAAACACATTTAAAGACATTTAAAAACTTGTGGATAAATCATTTTTGGGGAACAGCACACATCAGCCTGTTCTTTTCATATTGCACAAACAGCATCAAGCTGCTTCAAAATCAGAACATATTGATCTAACCATCACCTGAAGAGCTTGTTGTAATGGCTCAACGAAATACAATTTTCAAATTGTATAGCTATATATTTAACCATATCATTGTATTGTGTTGAACATAGCGAGTATTCTATATCATATATCAGGGTGGTAGTTGATTGTCACCTCAAGACACAGACTAAGAGACAAAATGAATGTATGTATTTATCTAAAATGAATTCTAAATTAAAAAGCATACACATCAGACAATGGCTGTAAAGGTCTAACTTTGTTGAGATGCAATATCCTCATCAATTCAAAGTTATGGATCTCCTTTGTCTTTTCATAGGTTGAGGTCGGTGATATGAAAGTAATCAGTTTCATGGATTTTCTTGATTTCGATGTGGTTATGAAAAATAAAGCAGGAATGAAGTATTGTACTTGTTCTCCCAGAGTACGACTAGAAAGCTCTCAAATGTAAAGAATTTTGGCAACTAACACTTAGCAACATCTACACACCCTAGTGTATTAGTCTATTATTGTCTTATAAATAAAACTAAAGGATGCTTGTCATTATGGCTTCCAGAGGGGTCCAGACCCCGGGGAACATGCACTCAACAGTTTGTTGAGGGGACACAACTGAGCAATAGTCCATTTTTAAGAGGGGAGGAGACACTGGTCAGTCAGCGCTGAAATCTCAATCCACACCAGGGGATTGTGGATACTGGTCTTATGACTTGAACCTGCCAAACTTGACATGATGATATGCTGGCCTTGCAGTCGCTGCATAGTGTCCGAGTGTCCCTCAGGGGGTCCCATGCTTTGTCCTTACTGGTTCAAGATAAACTTTTCTGTTAGTCCAGCTGTGGCTAGGTTAGGTCCTCCAGCCTAGCTTGACTCTTTGCTAGTAAGGAGAGAAGATAATAGGCGCATGTGTGGCCCTCAGAGGTCCAGGGGCAGGCCTGAAGAGCGTGGGGCTGATCAGGGGACCCTGGATGAAGGCCGTGGGACCCGGCGGCAGCCGTAGGGCCAATGGTCCAGACGCCATGGTGCACAAGGCCGCTTGATTGAGGGGACTGGTCAGGAACCCTGCCGGCAGGGCCTTGGATAGCTGCTTCTGCAGGGCCAGTTTAGTCTGAAACCAAAGGCAAGAGACATGTTCAGTCTAAACAAGACCAAGAGTCGAAAGTCATGCTAGCAGCTCTTTGAAGCTGTACATAGACAAAACAGAGTTTAGAGTTAAATGGACAATAAGCATACTAAAATGCTGACTAACACTGACATAGAGTCATTAGGATTCATTGTCTGGGGACCATGCATGTCTGTAAAGTAGTGGACCCACCAAGCGACACTGCCAACCCCAGAGCCGTTCTGCTAGTATGGCTAAATTAATGCATTTAATGCCTACCAGAAATAACATTTACAAAATCTACAACATTGTTATTCATATAGGATGTGCACCAACCGTGGTGCTGTCACATTAGATCTACTCCTTTGTTCTTTGAAAAAGAAAAGCTAATTCTTTATTTATTTTGTAAACTTGTAACAAGCTTGAATAAGATCCATTCTGAGGCATCTATTGAGTATGTGCATGTATTGTTATTTAATGACCATGTGTGATGTTGACAAAGAAAAAGTAGTCAAGTGGGTGTTTGACAAATTCTTACCGCTAAGACAGCGCTGGGCTGTAGTTTATTATAGGGGGTGAACTTAACCTTGACAGGCTTCCCAGCCAAGCGCTCTTTGTGTCTCCTGCTGTTCATGTGCTAAAAGTGGACAGACATATACAGAACAGTGATTCAGTCAGGACAGCTCTGACTAACACACTGAAGAACCAACAAATAGGGTAGTTTTACCTTGTAGAATAAAAAGGTTAGGCATTTTTAGTTTTTATACAGTGCTCGGTAGCAAAATTAGTCACATTTATTACATTAGTGTAAACCCACATACCTGCTTCAGCTGTGTCTCTGAGTTGACGGACACCTGGCACATTTCACAGTGAAAGGGCTGGCTGGATACACCCACAACCGCTCTGGTCTTGCTGCCCATTCGCTGCTTAATTCGGCAAGTGGGTCTGGGCGATGACGTCATCTTGACCCTGCGTTGTGACTGGCTGCTGTTCTGACCATCAAGCATCTGTTTGTGCTTGGAGCCTGATTTAGAGGACCATCACAATAATCTATTGTTAGATTGTTACAAGGATCAAATAGCAAATGACTTTAATGTTAACTATAGTACTATTAGTAGTATTGTGGTACACACCACTGCAGTGAGCCTCCAGCTGGGAGCTGGAATTGACCGTCACTTTGCACGTGGGACAGTGGAGAAGTTGTTTTTTGTTGCTCTTGGCCTCTTTAGCCTCCTCTACCTTCACCACCTCTTCCTCACCTCCTGTGGGGCTCCCCTGAGGGTCAGAGTGTGGGGCTGAACCGGTGGCCGGGCTGCCCACCTCCACATAAGGACTGTCTGAAGGTAGATCAGAAAGCTGAGGGCCAGGGGAGATTTGTGGGGACAGCTGAGGAGAGCGGAGGGAGGAGGAGTCTGTGGATGAAGGCTGTGAGAAGGGAATGGGTGCCAGCAGGTTCCCCTGGCCGTTTTCTGGTTGCTGCTGTGCAGGTTGGGAAGAAGTACTTGGGCCTGTGGATATGATGAATAAACATAGAAGCTGCACTATGAACCCATTTACATTTGGTATTACAATATGGTATTTATCTTTGTATGTTATCTAAGGGTAAACATAAACAATTGGGATGACATTTGCAGACTTGTTATATAAATAAAGTGGTGTTGAAATAAATTAATAAATGTAACAATTCTGCTGTAAAGTTCAGTTTAGCTACTTTTATTATACTACAATGAAAAGTGTGACCTCTTTTTCCCTTGTCATACTTTTCCTTATCCTCATCAACCTGCTTTTCTTTTCTGCTCTATCATTACTTAATTTTCATATCTTTTCCCTCATTTTTTATGCCGTCTCAATCATTCTTCCTCCATCTGTCTCTCTGTCATTTGTTCTCCCTCTGTCACCATCAATCAACAACCATGGCAACCACTGAATGTAACAAGCTTATCATTGTGTGCTTAGAGGGAAATTGATGGGTGCTGGAATAAAATAGGAGGGGTAAGATCAATAATGAAAAGGAAAGCTAGACAGAGTATCCAAAGGAAGATGGTGAATTTTTTTACGTTGGCAGAATGAGAAGCCGAGTGACAAATGAGTGAAAGACAGCAAAGTTATTACTCTTACAGCAGCTCTTTTGTAGGCAGTGTTGCTGCAAGGTCACTCATGTCCTCGGTATTTTGTCTGAAAATTTGGGGATTTTAACAAGCTGCAGTGCAGTTTATATTGGCAATAGAAAGGTTTTAAAGGCTGACATCAATGATGACACCAGTAGAAGTAAAAAGCTGGATCATCAGCACAAGAACAGTGCTAATGTGGAGCTATTGCTCTATACTGCTGGGTAGCTTAATCTATAATAATATATCATAATTTATTAATAATGTGAATATGCTATGTAACTAGTTACTAAAGTTATCAAATAGAAATTGTACTTGCATACATTGATTAAGTAACTGTACTTAATACTGGTTATTCTATGTTTTGACACTAAGATTGGTATTTTTACTGCAAATATATATTGGTTCCAAATATCAGTTTCCTTGATTAATAATAATCGGGTAACCATATCGGCCCTGAAAAAAGCACATCGGTCGATCCCTCGTGGATTTTGAAAATGTACACCCTTTGACATATCCTTTAGCAAAGAAACTTCAGTGGGAGTTGTGTTGAGTCACTGCAGATTTACAACCAATATCAATTTTAAAGAAAGTAACACCACTACATCCCTCTTCAGATAGCATCTCCTCTTAAGAGCTTTAAGGCTTCTCATCATGCAGAATGTCTTTGCTTGATGGGTGTAATTACCTATCTGACAGAGCCAACGATAGCAGGACAGGTAATAGCTGGTAATTAGCCAGCTGAGTGGCAGCTACCAAGCCTTAGTGCTTATGTCTCTCAAATTACCACTAATTACTCAGAGGATGGAGAGAGACGGATGCCTTTAAAAAAAGAAAGATTTATACCTGTTATGTCTTTCAAATGTGAGTCTGTGGGCACAGTTCCTCCTCCCATCATCGCCCTCTCTCGGTCTCTGTCTTTTCCTGTTGTGGACAGACTGTGTCCACTCTTCTGCCGGTTCCTCTGGGTCTCCAAGGCCTTTAGCTTGCGAGCATGTTTGTGACCTTTGTAGTGGGCCTCCGCCTGGGTCTGACCATGACACACACATAAATACGCACACACGAGCAGAACAAACAGAGGAGGAAGTCAGTGTATAGTATATGAAAAGAAACGCTGACATGATTAAATTAGTGAAGGACAGCATGAAATCAGTAAACTGTAATCTTTCCATCTGCTCCATCTCTTTGGCTTCACATGCTTCCATGGAGTTGGGGAAAAATTGTGCGATTGAGCATTTGACTCGGAGGAAGAGCCACATCACCATTTTGATCATCATCGTCGTCATGGTTGTGCACAAATGAGGATCAGTTGGACTTGTGGCGTCTCATGACCATCCTCTGAGCACACTGGCTCATCTTTCCACTAATTTGTTCTGACATAAAATGGCCCGTGTCCGTTATTCTGCAACACATAATGACCTCTGCGCCTTCCTCCATGAGAGAAAAACACATTTGTGGCAGTGCGATAACCGATGCATGCAGATTTGGGATCCCAAAATGGCTCTGGATGGGATTTGATAAAGCGAGATGTGCTCTACAGACGAAGATCAGCTTCCAGCAAGTAGATGTGCACCAGCAGAACAACTGAAACACATTTATCAGGTAATCGATACACATATCAAATCGCTCCATTTTATATGCACTATTTAGTTTTAGGCTACAAACAGCAATAACGTTTATTTTATTTCTCATTTTCTTATAAAATACAGTTTAACACCACAAGATGTTATATAGATATTGTGTTTAATATTCAAATGAGCAACCTCATCTGCAGATGAAGACCTGAGAGATGGCTGAAAGCCCAAGAAAAAACTGTGAGAGAGAGAACTGTGGAGTGAACCTTGAGTTAGGTTTACTCTCAGTAGGTGAAAAGTTAAAATAACTTAAGCAACTTGAGAAAACTATCTACAGTATATCAAGAGTACAGAACAAGCAGAAGTCATAAAGGATAGATGTGGTGCTATTCTATATTTTTCTTATTGTCAACCAATTCCACGAAAACACCAAAACCAACAATTAATTGATCGTACTAAAAAGTATTGTCTGTGTTGCCAAAGCTTGATATATATCATTCCTGTGCCTCAGAGCATCCATTGTTGCCCAAACGCTATTAAAATACACAAATGAACCACACTGCTGCTCTTGTTCCTTCATTACAATGAATATGGGCACTGTAATTTATATTTTAATAATACCACATACAGTACGCAGCACTCGTAAATATTCACTAGAGCACCAAATGTGAAAAACTAAACCTCCACTGAAAGTAGTCCATAACAAATGGTCTATTTACTCCTGTTTGAGTAAAATGCGCTACAAATAACACTGCCTAGATGTTTTAGGAAGTTATTAAGCCCCTTTAAAATGAAACTACATACAGTATTTCTAACATGTTTCATATATTTACATAGGTATGAATGGGCCACAGACAAGGTTGGGAAGTTGGTTTTGTTCTTTTCATGGGATTTGTCAACAATAATAAAAATCCTAAACATAACCAGCCTTATCCTTTAAGAGCACACTTTTTTTATTTCTTTTGCAAAACTAGTGCCTTTCTGTATATTAAAGACACAAATGCACACACTAAATCCACAGAGAGTCTGAGTTCAAGTATTTCGCTTCACTCGAGGCTGTTAGATAATTTGTCATTGCTCAAATTATCCGTACCAGTTTCCAGGCACACACTACAGCCTCTGAGCTCAATGTGCAGAGGTGATCTTTTAGCGACTCTGTGCATAGTGGTACGAGTCCCCCCCCCCCCCCCGTCAACACTTTGCATAAAGCTCGGGCTGCTACACAAACAGAAAGGGTAACCACTGTGGGTCAAAAATACAAGGCTGAGCAAAGGGTGTACAACGCCTTTGGCTACGTTGAATGTCAGTGCACACTAACCATTCAGCGTGATTTTCAACTGAGTCAGAGGGAGGAATCTGCTCCCATCTGCATACTACGAGTGTAGTATGATTCACTATGTTCCACCATAATAACTTACAGAGAAAATAACATGTAGAATAAGTGTCCCAGGCAGCAAAAAAAAACCTCAGTTAAAGACACCTGGAGGAGACTGTCAGCACTGCTTGACTTCCGCTGACCTTGATTCAAGCAGCTTTATGCATTCTCACACCACTGATGCCCAAACCCTTCATACATAGTGAGCAACAACTGTCCTCCCCAGGGCAGCAAAATTAGAATATCATGTGTTATCCTTCAGGCTTGAATCTTTCATGCTTTTTCAGTGAGTTTAGCAGCCTTAAAGGAATAATTTGAAAATTGTTCAAGTCTATTCCTTTTTTATGCACACTGGTCATGTAGTATATACAGTAGATCCCATTCATCATCAATTCCATCTTTGTCTTGAACAAACAGCTCCAGCTTTCCAATTTTTAGGTCCACTTTCAGTGCAATAAAGCACTCTACTGTGGAAACAAAGAATGGTCGTAATAATTGAAATTTCATGTGCAATTAAATACCAAATTTTGGAATTTAAACACTAGTGAAAAATTAATACTGAAATTCAATTACCACTGAATTCACAGCATTGGAAAACGTCTTGAAATTTCTATTTGTTGGTTACTATCAAAG